CATATTATTTTATCAGAATTAGACGCACTATTGTAGTCAGCACATGCTCTTTGTAATAAGAGCTCAGCAATTATGTACAGAGAGGAAAAAAGTGAACTTTTCGTCAACAATTTCAACATCTCCCACATTTCTTCTCCTTTGCATTTACTGTTATCGTATCTCCTGTGTTCTTCACTTTGCCTAAAAACGTGAATGTAAAGCGAAAACATTGCAACTAAACTCAAACCTAACGACTATTCCAAGAGTAACTGACACTAGTTGTACGCGTGGTATTCTAAATGTCTAAATGTCTAACTGTCTAAATGTCTATTTTCGTTAGTGTAAAAACTTTGAGAAACTTATAAAACTTTTATTGTTTCCTTGCTTTTCATAGATATTTATAGGGACGCTACTGATCGATTTAATGAAACACATTAAACTGAGCATTAGAACTGCAATGCATTCTCAAGGCAGTAAATCATTAATTCGAACTAGCTGTGTCGTACACTATTACTACTATTCGCATTTGTTCTCATAAATTTCACGGGGAGTTTTAAAACCGTTTACAATGACAGAAAATCATCAACCAATATTTGCGTTTATTATAAGATTTTCTTACACTTTACCCAAATTTTTAGGTGTGTAGAAGAAACCTTCGATACCCATAGTGACATCCTTAGTACATCTATATATATATGTATATATTTATGTTTGGCGTTTAACAAAGTTGTTTCTATGGCTAAACTATTCTCTACTTCCATGAAACAATCGTGCCTTAAAAATTAGCTGTATTTTCTAAAATTGCATAAGATTATTTGAAATCGTTAAAATAATTCTTCGGTTTTTTCTTTAAATATTTAAGTTTATATGTTAACCAAAAAAAAATTTCCCAATAATTTGAATATAAATCACTATTATCCTAAAAACTAGATCAAAAGAAAGGCAACGTAATGTTATCTTTTTCATGAAGTAGCTTTAAAAACTATAATTTAATTTAAGAAAAAAAAAACGCCTAACGAAGTACTTTCACATATTGAAACCTACATTTCTAAAAGCTTCTTAGAATCGTGCAATATATAATATGCTTTCATAAATCTACAGTAGAACCATGTATATATATATGCTTTCATATATCGAAAGTATATGGAAACAACCCAAAATATTTTACATAGAAAATTTTCAACAATTAATTAGCAAGTAGTCTTGAACAACCAATAAATTCATATAGTTTTTTATAAGTGTTAATATATTTACTCACACACATTCTAAATATATAACTATAAAAGTATATACTAAAACAAAAATGAGACTACATCAACAACAAAATTCCAATCATTAAAAGCAACGATTTATCAGACAAAGGATATTTTTGGCTTTTTGCCTCAGCTATTATTTAAATTTTCAACTTCTTGAATATGTAAGGAAAGTAAGAGTGTTTGATTTTATTTAATTTTCTCAACAGGTGATATTTGAAAAAGTTGTAAATCGAAAATTGAAGCCATTGCCACGTTAACGCTCTCATAAGTGAGTAGTAATTAGCGATAGGAATTTAATTTTGTAAATTATTTAATCATTCCGTTAATGTAATCTAGTTAAAACGACATAAACGCACTTGTGAATTTTTCATGTCCTCATCACTGTCTTTGTGTTACAAAACCATATTTTGTGAATAAAGGTAAAAAATAATGTACGATCAATGCGTTACTTTTCAGCCGGATTATAACGGCTTAAGGGCTAAGAAATTTAGAGATTAGAACAATTGAAAAACATTTGCCATATTAATTATTATAAGAACGAAATTAACGTTAATAACAAAACTAAAATGTACTGTATTCACAGAGTTTTTATATTTCTTTCTTGAAGATTCCTTATTACTATAGCTTACTTTAATTTCTTCAAAGCTTAATTTGCTGCATTAACTTGCAGCACTTTGCTCTTTGAGCTGTTACAAACGCTTAACTAATCGTCCTTGAGCCAAACGCCGATTTTTAGCAATGCGAGCCATTTGCTCAAATGTCAGCTCCTTTACTATTTGTTCCGTAATTGCTTGAGTTTGTGGTAAAAGTTTATCCTTATTAAAATTATCCCCACCTGTATAAGGAGTAGACAGCGCCGTATGGTCTTTAGAAAAGCTAGGTGTAGTGAAGTTAATACTACTGAAGGAATCACCATCAGTTCTATATTTACTGCTACTTTGATTGGATATGTTTTCTTTTGAATTCGCCATGCCGACCTTTGATTTCTTGATGGGCGATGCTTGTTCTTCCCCACATTTTCATACTTTTATTGATTCCCACGACATTTTAGGGCTCAGCCGGCAAAATGTGATAAAATAAAGGAAATGATCCAAGATCCTAAAGATGGCCAACAAATAGTACGAATTATTTTTAGTCGAAATAACAATGTCCACGAAGTTGAAACGGCCGATACGGAAAATGAGAATTTTCTGGGTAAATGGAATAAATTCTAATATCATACATGAAGAGACATTTTTATCGTTTGATAATGTAACTATCCCCATGAAATTCAGAAAAAAACTTTGGAGTTAAACGAAGCGATTTTATTCTAGTGGAACCAATCGAAGGGGGCGATAAAGTTAAAGCAGAGATTTGTAAGTTCTTAACAGCCGAACAAATCAGGGAATTCATCAAGGCTGGCATTTGGCCGGAATGCTTTAAGAGGGACGATAACGAATGGACGTTACGCAAGTAATTATGTTAAAGAAACTTGTGATGAAAACGCAGAGGAATTCAAAGAAAAATTCAGTGGACCATGTCATTTATCTCCGAATAGAAATCGGTCAAGCCTTTTAGTAGCATTTCAAGATGAAAGTACAAGTTCAGAAGATGACAGCTAACTTAAATGCTTACCAACTTACATACCGAAATGTGCAGAATAGGTATTTTTAATACCTACCATGTAACTCGATCACACTTATTAATTGCATATTTAAGTATTAGAAAAAAATGTTCTTGACAATAAATGATAAATGTGAATTCAAAAAAAAAATCACGAAGAGAAACGACGTAGAGAATTTAAAAGTATTGATCTTTGTGTGACTGCTATTTTTGAAATGCAATCAACATGACTAAAAAAAAAACCTTGAAAAAAATTATAAACGGTTCATAATAATTGACTCTTTTTTTTTTTTTTTTCTTAACAAGCAAGTGCAAAGTGGCTACTTAAACATTAAACAAAAGCTTGAATTTGTATCTGCCATTCCTTCTAAGTACCAAACATAAGAATTCCATTCTAATAAAGATGTCAATTCGTTACAGATTGCCGTATGAATGGGTAGAGCTTCACCCACTTTCGCATCGCGTTCCTCCTTGATGACCATAGCCGCAGCGCCTGCTCTTTAGCAGCTGCTTCATTTTGTTTAACTAATCCCCGTTGATCCGCAGCTGCTTTACTATCGTCGGTAACTTTGGCTACTTGAACCACCACAGTTTCCGCAGCGTCTTTCAACTTTGGTTCCAACGCCGCTTAATGACATAATAGGACACTTTTTGGGAACTCCTCCTAATATTATGGGCCAAGCTAAGCAGGTTTAGTAAAACTAAATCGATCAACAGTCAATAACATCGCTTTCATAACACAATTTCCTAACACTGATATATTACAATTTAAGCCTCCTTCTGAAAGTGTTGAAAAAGGCTTAACAAATACGTTAGAGTTTTTACAGAAATTTTGAGGCTGCCATGTTTTTTTATAGCGGCTTCATTTTAAGAGGGTTCTTCAATAATTGACACCTAAGTGTCTTAAATGTAATTTCCTTAACTATTCAAAGGGGGAATAAAGCGAAGAATATCTGTAAAAACTTTGATTTTTTTTTTTTTGAATTGTTGGGTGGAAATGGACTAAGATGGATTTGTGGCTTATATGTCCAGATAATAAAATATCGTAAATTCAGAAATATGTATAAAACGCGACAAAAACAACAGCAACCGTAATAACTGGAGTCGGTATGTTAAGTGTAATTGTGTAATTACGCTGGTTGAGTGTTGAAAGTAAAACAGTGTTGCAAACTTTGGCTGAAATCGAAAGAGGAATAGAAATTGAATGAACGAGAGACAAAAAAAAAGCAAATAAAAACCAAAAAAGGAAGAAGAGAAAAAAAATTAAACGATAAATTCGCTTTTTTATTATTATTATTATTATTATTTTAATTTTAGACTAATGAAATGAATTCTTAGACTAAAAAAAAGACATTGAGCACTAGCAACACAGGCTATCGGCTCTTCGCTTTTTTAATAAAGCAAGTTAGTTCGCCGAGCTGACATACATTTTTTGCAGCAAAGAGATCGAGGACACAGTTATATAACATGAAGAAGCTAAAGGAATCTCTAATCTCATCAAGCCTGTGACATCTGAAGATTAGATGCTCAGCAGATTCGACAACATTGCAAACTTCACAAACGTCAGATGTTATAGCGCGAGTCATTTTTAAATAAACTTTATCATAAGTGTGACCACTCTTGAGTCTATAAAGAATTTTAATTTCACAGGAATTAAAAGACGATACAGAAAAGGGTTTGAATTAAATGCGGGATTTATTTTATAGAAAAGGCGATTGGATTTAACACACGCAATCTCTTCAAATTCTTCATTTAGCTGTTGAACGATATTTTGGGAAATCGCAACATGTGGAATGTTCAAATTCCACTTTAGACCTGACTAACGATTTGTATACAGTGAAAGCTTTCTTGGGAGGCAAGCCTAACTGATTGTTAGTCATGAGTTTGATGATGCTACATCCAAATTGAGTCTTCGAAGGCTTTTTCATAATGCCCATGAAGGCTGTCGTTTAAAATTCTACCAAGGAATCGAAGAGGTTTCACCTGATCAACTTTAGTGCCTTTTAGTACCTTTGGTAAAGAGCCTGATTTCACGTTTAGAACTTTTGGCAAAATAAACACTATTCGTTTTGCTGGGGTTAAAATATAAATGAAGATCGGCGCATGCATCCAAAAAAAATTAGCCTTCATGGAGAGATTATTGACAGCAGCCGAAAGAGATGAGTCCGCAGATACAATTAGGAAATTATTTGCCTATTGCAAAATATGAGTTTTGTCATCTTGAGGATCTTGCCAAAGAAGCTGTGTATAGATTGAAAAGTGGGGTTTAAGCAACTGTTTTGTGGGATATCACCATATATTTCAACTTTTTCAGTACCCATCACCAACACACGCTTGGATAAAAAATTAAGTTTTTGAAGAGGAACCGAAATGCTTAAGAGAACTCTACCAAGCTTAATCAATTTGATACAGTGATAGGCTTTGCTGATGCCCAGGGAAAGCATAACAACCACAATCAAAATATAAATTGTTTTTGCGGAACTTATTATGAAACCACCTGTTCTTTCTAAAATCAGTTGTTCATTTTTGTGTTTATCGATTATTATCTAGAGATGCGTTTTTCCTTTATAGAAATACAGTAAATCACATCATCAGTAATTTTTGTTGTTGTTGTTGCATGTTTTGTTTGTTTATGTTATGTGCAATTTAAGAAAGGGAATAGAAAAAGAAACCCTTTAAAAAATATGTTGAAACAGTTAACTCTGCTAAATAAATACAAATATATGACAAGTTATTTAATATTGTAAGTGTGTCCCATTACTGCCTTTGTTAAAAAAAAAAATTACGTAACCTTAAAAGGTAATAGATATTCGTGTGCTGTGCATGTTAGGCTGACGTTTGAAAATTTCTGATTTCAGCCTGCAAAATAGCAAAGGATACCATCAAAGACGTTCATTTTTCTCCATCAATAATCTAAGCAATAAAAAAAGAGAATATGTAAAAAAGGAACTGATAGGGTAAGTTCATACTCAGGATATTGTTAATCATACAAACTAATGTCTTGCGTATACATACAATTTAGCTATTCCATGCAAGAAATGTACTCTGTTGTCGCCGATGTTAAAAATTATTATACGTTTGTCCCATATGTGAAAAAATCCCGCGTACATAGTCATCACAATTTTGGCTTTAAAGCTGATTTAATAGTTGGTTTTCCGCCAGTTAATGAAGCCTATACGTCACGCGTAACTCTAAATTCGCCGCATTTGGTAATATCGGAATGCAATGATGGACGTTTATTTAGTTATTTATTAAATGAATGGCGCTTTAGTTCCGGTCTTAAAGACATACCACAATCTTGCGTATTAGACTTTAGAGTTGCCTTCGAATTCAAATCATTATTGCACAGTAATATAGCGAATTTATTTTTCGATTTAATTTGCGACCAGATGGAAAGTGCTTTTCTTGAAGAAGCGCGTCGCCGCTTTGGTGAACCTTCAATACGATCACACATACTTTATCATAAGCGTTCCTGACCTTGCCACTCAAAAGATGAGGAAAGATGAGAGCTATAGCCTTTACTTCCATACAGTTCGAGATGAAAAATATTATTGCATATATTTATACAGTTATTTTTTAGTTGATTAATATGTGCTACCAATTATTTTTATTAAATATTTTTGTATTATTTCATACTTAGTAAAATTTCTCATTTAATCTGTTTTAATAAATAATGGTTTTTTTATACGATTTACTCACGATTTTGAGTTCGTATGACTTTCGAATGACTATGATGCAGGAAGAATACTAGAAAAAACGAGGAAGTTGCATTTGTTCTGTAACGAATATATATCAACACTCACTAAATTCACTGGCAAAATATCAGATTGTGCGGAAAGTAAATTTGATTTTTTTTTTATAGTAAATAAAGGTGGAATTGCATATTGTCCCATTTTTTTGGAAATACCGTGATTCCACGCTCACAAAATTCTTGTCCTTTCCTTGAAAAAAACAAGTGGTTTTTGAAATCCTCATCTTAGCTAAAGGTATCACCGTCTCAACAAAGTTGTAGAGACCGGAATAAGTAATATTAATGAGAAAGTGCCAGATCTGAAGAATATGATGGATGTGGCACTATATGTCGTGAAGGCGTAAAACCTTTTAACGCGTGAACAAAGTCGCATATATTCTCGCATTTATCTTGGTGAAACATTATACATCTTCTACTGAACAATTTCGGCCTTTTCTGTTTAACTGAGTCATTCAAATTTATCCGGCTGATGAAAACACACTTCTGATTTGTTAGAATTGATCTTATTTCGTCCGGTGGAGCTAAAAAAAAAGTGAGTCCCACCGAAGAGTTAGCATTATTTTTTTTTTTGAAAAGTAACGTCGTTCAAAGTGCTTTGAGACGGTTTATCTTTTCTACTATACGGTCTCCTGCGTTTAAAATTGTTATAGATAAAAGTGGAGCATTTTCTTGACGTTTGATAATCAAATCATACGTCTATGCGTCGGCACAAGTTTCTTTCCGTAAGAAGATGAAGAACTCATATTGCGGTTAAACCCAAACGGTCGAATTCCATGCACTTAATTCCTCAACGATCTCACGAGCTGTTAATCGTCGGTTTGCATCAATTAGTGGCTTTACTATGTCTTCATCATCAATTTTAACTGACTTCCCAGAACGTGGCGCATTTTCAAGATCAAAATTGCTGGATCGAAATTTTGGGAAACCCATTTTAACATTAAAGTTCTGTCAATACATTTTTCCCGTACACATCGGATAATACTTTCTTGGTTGAATAGCATTTTCAGCTTACTATAAGATCAATCGAACTGAGATTTTACTAAGGAAACTGAATCAGTAAAGAGTGATTCAGCTGCAGCTTCGAGTCTAAATGATTTGATTACCAACTTATATGTTATAAGCCATTAGGCTTTTACAACTTTTGGCACAGGGTAAATACTCATGGCTCTTCGCATGTCAATATGTAACTGTCTAGGTTACTTTGTTTCTTTTGAAGAATAACGAAGAACTTTTCTTTATAAACACAGCAGGAGAAACCTGCCCCGTTATATGCAATCCTTTGTAATATTATAGGCAGATTGAAAATGATCTAATTTTTCAGAATTCTGGATGGGTGTCAGCTGTTGCTTCGTCGATCAATAAGTAAAAATCTGTTTAAAAAATGGAATAAGGTTAAGATTCATCAAAAAAGGTTTGAAATTAATTGAAAACCTCTAATAAATCCTTTACGATCTATATCTAAAATACCATAAAACTTTGACTAAAATGCTAAAGAGCTTTTATTTATTAAGATTAGTTGACAGTTATCTATGGTTTATTAAAAGCACGTGTGTAATTTTTGTAGCTAACAATTTTTTAACTTGTGCTTGGATATGGTTGGAACCAATAAATACACTAAAGCAGCTCACGGCTCATCCTACAGATATTCACATTATTCATATTATCGGCTTTCAAAATCAGGTCTTATGTGCAACGTGGTTGAAAAAGTCGTTCGATCCGAACTATTTCCAATAGCGTTCGTCCTCCTTGTGCAAAAACACATCACTGTACCAAATTTCATCGAAATATCTCAAAAATTGCGAACTGTAGCTTGAACACAAATTTGCATGGGCAGACATCAGACGGACAGACATGATTATGATTCTAATTCGATCGGTGTAATAAAAGGTGGATCCATCTTAAGCCCTTCTGCGTGTTACATACGACCGGACTAACTTAATATACCCATACCATAAACAACAAACAGAAAACATTTGTTTTTTTTTTGCAAACACAAGGTCCTGTACATTTTCTTGTGTGCCAACGTTTCTGCAAAGACGAGGGCCTATCTATTTTGCTGTTGCTAAGATTGCAAACAGAAAACATGCGGGCAAAATAAATACTGAATTTCATAAAAATTAATTGCAGTTTTTTTTGTTAATGTGATCATTCATTCCTGCGACACGCTGAATCGCTGAAAGAAAGGAGGGAACAGAAAAAAGAAATATGGGTCCGGGCGCAGCCTTGTTGGTCAGCCTTTGAACCCTGAACTCGTGGTCACGATTTATTACCTACCCGGCTACTCAAGAGGAGTTTACAAAAATTGAAAAACATGATGAAACCAACAGTTTCAAAAAAAAAAGTTATTAATTATTCGTTTTTGAAAATAATTACATATTTTTTGTTTAATTACGTCTCATAACAATTCTATTAAAATTCCTTCACAAATTTAATTTAAAAATAAGAACGAAAACATCAGTGGCACGAATAGAATGTACAATATTTTGTTTGCAGAAACTTATCACTATTGTAAACATACGTTATATTTGTTTATGCATTTCTTTCGTTGGAAGTATATAGAAATTCAAAACAGGAATCTCTTTTCACCCAATTTTAGACGGTTACATATATACGTAAATAATTTGACATTGACACAAGTTAAATATGGCTACACATATGTACTTTTCATTGTGATTAATATTTAATATTAATGAACAATAAGAGAGAGAGAACAAAAATAACAAGCAGCTTGAAACGACTATTCGAAATATAATGAATTATTTAATAAGTAAATTAAGTTTGCAAAACTTGAATCGCGTAATGTGATCTTTCGGGTGCGCTCGTATTGGAGAGTTGCGACGAAAAATGTACTTTTGGTATCTCATTAACAAAATGAATGAGTGATGAGTGAATTAGGCGAAGTAGTGTAAGGCATCTAATGATCGGTCTTGCCTGATGTGTTGGAATGTTATTTCCTTGTTTTCAATTATTTTTTAATGTATTTCCAGTTCTTTCAATTTTTCTTTATTATTAATATCTTTCAGGTTTATTTTTATTTTCATTTTTTTTTTTTTTTTTTTTATTATATATCAAAACTAGGCCCAAACGGACATTGGGCCTTTTTTGCATATCTATTGCTGAATAACCTTCTTCTAAATATTTATTGTTTACTTTTTTTTCTTTTTATTTAAAAATGTTATATTTTCGATATCTGTGAATTTTAATTATTATCATCAATATTCGGATAGTGTATGGTTCAAGAAGATGCGCCGCCGATCCATCTATGAAATTTCTGAGCGTATCGTTCAATTAAAATACACAAGCGGCTATCGCGGAACGAGTAATTATTATTGCGGGGTCGTTTTATCGAATTGTATATCCATAAGCCAAGGTATGGATTCTTCACCCTTTTTTGATGCTTATTTTTATAATTTTTGTTTTATTTCTGCAGGATTTCAAACAGCGAATCGTAAAAAAATCTCTATATCGGAAGAAAGCAAAATATCCATACAAAATATTCTAAGAGAATTTCAAGACGATTTGCAGGAAACAGATTATGAAATTGAATTAAAAGATATAAAAGCTCGGATATCGAATAAGAGTCCAAGTTTAGAACAACCGCAATCAGAAAAAGACTAATGTTCGAAAAGGACTATGAAACTGGAAAGAAAGATATGAAAGACCGCATGGAATTCAAATTTAAAAAAATGGCAAAGAGCAGTGCACAAGCCAACAAACCCACAGGTTTCCAAACGGCTAATGGCAAGAACGTGCTCTTATCTGAAAAAGGGAGAAAACGTGTAAAAAGCCTCCTAAACGAATTTCATCAAAGTGAAAGTGATGATGATATTGAGGATAATTTGCTTTGTATAAAAAATAAAGTTATTTCTAAAAAGCAAAGCATGCTGTCTGAAAAAAAGACTTTTAAGACATCTTTAACAAGCAGCAAAGAAGAAGGAGATTACCACAGATGGAGCGGCAAATTGTCAGCAGCTGAAAAAAGTCGAATATAAAAGTTGAAGATGATGAAGGGATCGGAGAGATAGGAAGCGATTATGCTAATATTGCATTAAGTCAATAGGTTCTTCCTCAAGATGATTCAAAGTAATTTTTATGTCAAGAATGATGTCAATGATGAAACCAAACAAACCGTTTTAAAATCTCCAAATACTTGGCAACATTTAGACATTGGGCATTCGACTTTAAATGTTCCAATGATGTTTCGTAAAAATCGTTTGTTGTCATTAAACCCAAAAAAGAAAAATTTAGGTCACCCAATGAACTCTGTGAGACACCCATTAGAAATTTATTACAAACCGAGACTACAACACCCGAATTAGGGGCGTTTCTTAAAAATGGTGTTGAAACAAGTACAACAAGTACACAATGCGATAACGCAAAACGCAACGTACAACCAGAAATATAACCAAAAGTATCCGTCCAGTTGGAGCTTATAGCAACAAACACTTTTTCAACCGCTTTGATTTGTCATTGGGAAAATCAAACTGGCCCTTCCTGTTGCTGTATATTAATTTATAAAATTTATATATAATTATAAATAGCTTTATTTATATAATACCTTTATTATATATTAATGTCTTTTTTTTAGTCTAAGAATTCAATTCATTAGTCTAAACTTAAAATAATAATAATAATAATAATATATATTTAAAATAGCTTTATTAATATATAATACAAATTGTTTTTCTTTTTAATAGTTTCCTGTTTGTTTCCGATTCTTTTTCCTTGAGTTCGTCGCTTTTGCTCTTCTATCACAACACCGTATAAATACATGCCGAAACCATCTAATTTATTTCGCGAATGCTCTGCCCGCAAAGTAACCAAAATCTCACCCAGCTCTTTAAAGTGACCTGAGTCATTTAGATTCGATTGATCCGTGGTCGAATCCAATCGTCGTTTCTCCACTGCCATATAAGTGGCATAAATATGATATGATACCATTCCGCACTAAATGTATCATGTAAATGTAAATGTAGCTGTATCATATTCCTATACATCAAAGTAACTTTTAGCCAGAAAATAAATATCATATTCTTTCGGTGCTATGAAATTATCTTTTTCATCCTTGCCGTCAATATCCACGTTCGCAAGGTCGTGGCACATTTCAGCTAACCATTTGACGCTGTACACTAAACCACGTTTTTGACAATCCACTATACCCTGTCTTAACTCTCTTTTAGCGTCGAGTACGTTAAAGAAGTCATCCTCCATTTTTTAACAAGTTTTAATGATAACATATTTTTCTCTAGGAAAAAGCTGGAAAAAGGAAAAAAATGATTAATACATAAGAGCGAGTTATTAAGCGCTGCTTACTGGAAAACCGAACTGTCATGTTGATCACCCCATATTAAAATTTCCGCTATACTTCTTAACAAATTAAAAAAAACAATAGCATAATTCTCTGTTAAAAAGGCAAAGCAGTAGTGGAATAATCTGTTCAAAAAGACAAAGCAGTAGTGAAATAATCTGTTAAATTGCAAAGCCGCCGGTATTTATAATGGAATATTATTAATTTCGCCAGAGGAATGAATTCAAAGACTAAACTCTCAAAAGCACTAGCATCTAAAGCTATCGCGGCTTTTATTAAAAACTCTACCGCACTTGAGATTCGAACCCACGATCATTGACTTGCTAGTCGAGATTCCTCGCCTTCGGCTACTCAGACGGATTATTATTATTATTATTATAATTTTAGACTAATGAAATAAATTCTTAGACTAAAAAACGAAATCGGCTCTAATTTAAATAAATGTACATCAGATAATGTGCTTAGTAGTATTAATAAAGTAATATATTAAATTGATTTTTTTTTCTGAAGCTGATTGTAGAATGGCCCAAGGGTTAATCGTTCCAAATGTAATACTTCTAGCCAAGCAAAAGTAAAGGCAGTCGCAAAGAATGTGCTTCATAGTGACAGTTTGTCCACAACTGCAGATTGGGGAGAAAGACTTCTTCAAGATCCATTGGTGAGTTTCAATTGTATGACCAAGGCGAATTCTCGAAAATGTTTGGATCTTCATTTTCTCAACATTAGTTGGATATAAAGGTGGAGTTAATTGAGGGTTAATGGAAGAGTAGTGTTGATGATGGTATTGGAAATTTTCTTCTGCCATTTTCTGTTTAACTTTTCTTCCAATGTATCTTTGAAGATCCAACTTTTCCATGACCTCATCCATAATTAGAGGAGCAGAAGCAACCCGTCCTCTAGCATCTACCACCGCACAAGCAGGAGGCAGACCAGAAGATCTTGCGCCGTCTGTGTATAAAAGATTCCAACTAGTACTTTCCAATACTTGGGTTATTTCAGCTATTAGATTCCTGAAGACGTAATTTGGAGTATCTTCTTTCTTGTGCATAAACAGCGAGATGTCAAAAGAGCAGTCTTTCAAAATCCATGGAGGTTTAACACCAAAAGAGCGGAAAATTTTTAAGGGAATATTCAATTCCTTTGCGACGTACAAACAATGGTCAATAGCAGATGGTGACTTTGGAATTTTCTTCGCAATAATAATCTTTCTCACGCCATCACCGAGAATAGATTTGTCTGAATGAAGAAGCTTGGGGACTATTTTAGCTTTTAACTCATAAAGTCTATTTTCTAAAGTTGGGAGACCAGTTTCAATTATAATATTATTTATGGGCGTCGTCCGAAAAGCATAACAACTTGTTCTAACTGCTTGGTGGTAGACCTGTGTGAGGATATTGATATTAGATTTGCAGCTATTGCCACAAATTATCAAAGCATAGTCAATCTTGCTTAACAGAAGCATTTTGGTGAGATAAGCAATAGTGGTAATATGCGCATGGCTTCTCCAGGCAACGTACTGTATGAAATTCACCCTTGTTAAAAGAGAGTTTTTTAACCGAAGACAGTGTGTTCTCCAACGATAATTGTTGGAAAACGTGAGCCCAAGAACTTGGAGCGCCTGCACATTTATTACCGGTAAGTTGTTAATATGCATCAGTAGATTTCCTGCGTCGCACATTTGTTTTCGACAAATGTAATTTGATTTTTGTATAGAAATTTTAGCCCCTGAGGAGTTTGCCCATGTGGAGATCTCTCGTGCAATAGATTCGACGATGTTGATTGCCTTCGCGCTATCTTTTTCTTTTGTAACAATGTATACATCGTCCACGTAGAGACAATGTTCGATTCTCCGTAAACGGCAAAGAATTTTGCAAATTTTGTTGAAGGCGATCTGGAAAAGCGTGACAGAAAGAGGAGATCCTTGCGGGATGCCATCCATTAGCGGAAAGGAATCAGAGAGATGATTGTTGATTCTAACTTCAAACCGCCGATGCGACATGAATGATTTGATGTAATTGAAGAATTTGGGTATGCTACCGCCAAAGCCAGTGCCAAGTATTTCCAATTCTATTTCATTTTTAGCATAACTATCATAATCCATGTAATTTTTGTTATTAGCTGTTTGTAGAGGGTATTTGGATCATAATTCATGCAAGTGTGGATATAAGAGATTTGTAGACGGTATTTGTGTGGATATAAGAGGTTTGTAGAAGGTACTGGTTTGTTTCTTATCTGTTTGTAGAAGGTATTGGTTTGATTATTAGCTGTTTGTAGAAAATAATGCTTTATCTGAAATTCAAAGCAAAAGCAATAATTCAATCATTCTTTTATATATATTTTATTTTTATATACATTTATTTAATCTTTTACTTGAACTTTATACTTCTTTAATTGGATATTTTCTCAAGGTACTTGAATAATCGATATTTTCTAAGTGCAAGTCAGATGTTAATTTAACTACAACCTTATTGTTTAGATCAATTTAGTATACCTTTCATTCCACCAGGTTCTAGAAGAAAAAAGGTGGGAATATGTTTACAGTTGTGGATGTAAAATTAAGATTTACAGTGCAACCTTTTCCTTTAGCTTTAACGCCACGATGGCACGGGAAAACCGTTTGCATTCTTTACCTTTTATTTATTATACTACGTTCGTAATCTTTTTTTTTTAACAGTTATCTGCTAAAACCATTATTCTACCGTTGTAGAATTTTTACGATACTTGGGCAAAAATTGAGCCAAGTTATCACAAGCCTCTATTGGAGACAACTTTGCATCGTTAAGAGAATTCTTTAGTTCTTCCCCGCCAAGCTCTCTCACTTTTTGTCTGCCCATTAAACATGGATATGGAGATCTGGCATTGTCATGATAAAAAGTGGAAAAGGCCTTTTGTATTGAATAATTGGGGACGTGGACAAAGAAAATTTTGTAATTTTCTCTTGCTTGGCAGTTTTTAAAAGCTCCTTCAATTCAGACTGATACACACCAGTCGCATTAGCAATTTGACTCTTAAAAGTAAGACTTCCCTAGACGGGTCAATGTTCATAAAGCAATCGCGTAGCTCATTTGCCACTCTTAAACTTTCACTAAGACTTTTAAAATTAAATGTCACTTTTCCAGTGCTTGTTGAAGCCTCTTCTTCAATGGGCTGCGAATTTAACATTTCCTCCAAGTCGGTTTCAGTCAAATCTTCATCTTGCGAGTCAAGCAATTCCCGAATGTCACTTGATTTTATCTGTTCGAACCCATCTCGTCGGATTCCATTCGCGATTTCGGCTATGTTTGCAGTCAAAGTTTGAACTTCTTCACGGATTCTTTATCATTTTCCGCAGTCAGAGCCGACCACAGTTTTTTCCAGCATGACTTCAATGTGTATGGCTTCAGTTCTTCCAATGATTCTTTTATGGTTACAATGCATTTTGTAAATCAAATATCTTCCGGCATTCCATAACATTCGTATCAGGATTACATTCCACATTATCCAATTAGATCTTGAAGGTTCGTCTAATGTATTAGAGATTAAAGGCCTTGATTATTCCTTGGCGCATAGGTTGAAGCAAAGCCGTCATGTTGGGAGGTGAAAATGTTGCTTTTGTGTTTGGATGCATAATTTCAAGTTCCCGAGGATGACCTGATGCATTGTCCAAAACTAGAAGTGCTTCAAAGTCTAAATTCTGTTTTTTTAAATGAAACTTATACTTCAGAAAGAGAACAATTCTGAACTTATTCATACCACAAAAAGTTCAAATTGCTTGTGCTTTTCTAATAATAACACTGATGAAGGTTTATTCATACCACAAATAAAATTATTAATTTTCGTTTTTCATTAACTGACGGAATCATTATTGGTTTTCACATACGAAACAGAGAAATATTTTGTATACCTCATAAAATATTTGAGAAGCATTCGCCGCAAACTTATGTGTATGGCTTCAGTTCTTCCAATGATTCTTTTATGTGTACGATGCATTTTGCTACATCAAATTTCTTCCTGCATTTCATAACATTCATATCAGGATTACATTCCATATTATCCAATATGATTTTGAAGGTTCGTCTAATGTAATAGAGTTTAAAGGCCAGGGTTATTCCTTGGCCCATAGGTTGAAGCAAAGCCGTCATGTTGGGAGGTGAAAACGTCGCTTTTATGTTTGGATGCATAGTTTCAAGTTCCCGAGAATGACCTGATGCATTGTCCAAAACTAGAAGTGCTTCAAAGTCTAAATTCTGTTTTTTTAAATAAGTTTCAACTTCAGGAAGAAAACAATTCCGGAACCAGTCACCAAATATCCGCGAATAAAGAAATTTATAGCCGCAAATATGGGAATTGGGTCGCATTTTTTTAATCCGTGAATATTGAAACCGCGAATAAAGAAGGGAAGTTTTACTGTATAAGAAACTTTTACTGTATAAACAACGAGAATAATTTCTCTCTCTTTTTGGCAAGCCAAAGAAATTCAAAGTTTTTTACCGTTGTAGTTTTGGTTTCAAAGTATGGAAACAGTCATCATCTGTTTCATAGGTTTTGTCTTTTAAGCATTTTCGGTTATTTCGTTAACTGGATTTTTCGTTAGCTAATTAGCTTTCTCCCAAGAAGGCTTTGCTTAATTTTATGACTCAGGCATATTGCGTAAATTAACTCTAACGTGTTACAATATTGTCATCAAAATTTAGCTGACTCTGTTGTGAAATATATGTCATAAGCACTATTGCAATTACCTTCTGAAAAGCATATGCTATTAAAAATTTGTTGTTTTTTTTCTATTGAATTCAACAACAGAACTCTTATTACATATTTTCTAAATTTTAAACAATTTTCATTAATATTTTTCTTATTCAAGTTTGATTTTCCGTTTAATAATTTCGTTCATTAGCCAAACCTTTATCGTGACATGCAGCCTTGC